CCCCTCCCCCGATTCATTGTTTGTTTTAGAAAATGCTTTGCGGCACTTGCAACACAATAATTTTGTCATAAAAGTGCAGAAGATTAGAGGTGTTACAAGAGAATGACAAACACAGAAAAGAAGAAGAAGAGATAATATGGTCAATAGATGATAGATATTTGATAGGAAAGAAAGAGCAACCCTCAGCAGAGCACCCGCGAACATCTTCACCCGATTCGATAAAGTCTTTAGGAAAGTGTTTTTGAGTAGAAACATTCGTGATTTACTAAATGTACATCCGATGATTGCTGTTTAATTCTCTTCAGAAGTTAGTGAAGGTCTAGACGTCTATTGCTCCTGCCCAATTTTAAAAAATGTTAAGAAAACTTTACAAGTATGTGTGATTGTATTTCGTATGTGACGTCAAAGCTACCCACAATTTGGCCCCACGGAGAGTAGAGACTCAGGATGGGCATAAGGGGTCAAGAAAATACGTGAAAAAACCAAAAGCATTAACAAGAACAAAGAACCTCCTCCCCCCTCTTCAGAAAATAACAACATACAAACAAACAAACAAACAAACAAACAAACAAACAAACAAACAAACAAATAAGCATACATACATACAATCAAACAAACAGACAAACACACAAACAAATAAAGTAAAAAAAAACCCAACAAAACAATCAAACCAACTCACGGCTGAGGTCCACGGGTCTGCAAGGGCAGGCCACTCTGTCGGCGTACTCCCTGGAGAACCAGAAGAGCAGCTCGCTGTGTGCCTCCACCGGGCGCACCGTGTAGAAGTAGATGTGCTCCCCGTGCTGGCACGCCACCAGGTTCTGATGCTGCTGGCTCGGGGACACGTTCAGGAAGTGCTGCCAGCTGGAGCGCTCGGGGTCTGTGGTTTGGATCACGTGGTCCAGGCGACCGTCTTTGTAAACCTGATGAGATAGAGGGTAGATACCGGGGTTGTGGGTGTTGTTTTGTTTTAGTAGAGGTTTTACGGCGCTCGCAACTGCATAAGGTCATATGAGCGCCAGAAGATTAGAGGTGTTACAAGCGAGTAACAAACATAAAAAGAAGGAGGGTAGATGGTGAGACTGTAAGGTGGTTGTAGCTTTTTAAAATGTCTGTCTGTCTGTCTGTCTGTCTGTCTGTCTGTCTGTCTATTCGTCTGTCTGTCTTTCTGTCAGTCTGTCTGTTCGTCTGTGCGTTTGTTTGTTTGTTTGTTTGTTTGCTTGTATTTTTTTAATGACAGCGAAATACATTCTCAGTCTATTGGTGTTAGAACACTTAATTAGCTGCTTGCACTGTACGCTTTGCGGGTTAATTATCTAATTTAAAAAAAAATAATTTTTTTTTTTTTGGGGGGGGGGTTGCTTTTTTACTGGGCTGTGTTGCCCAGACATCATCTATATAACGGTAATTGTGAATCTTGACATATATAACGTATCCTCAATCTTGACCTTGCAGGACACTCTTTTTTCCTTTCTGAACAATGGCGTCTTATAATCTGGCCCGTTTCAATGTATCGAGTTTAAACGATTGTAAAGAATGCTCCAGAGCTGAGAAAACTAAACGGAAGACTGTTTCAGACTCTGATTAGATATTTCCTATTAAAGACCGAAGCTTATTTAGTGTAACAAACGCTTGTTTTTTACATTGTTTTGTATACTTGTTGGTGACAGTTACAAACAAAGGAGTGTGAAATGAAACACTAAAGAGGGCGTTACATAAACATTGAACCACGCGGCTGGTGTCAGTTCCTTCTCATGGATGAGGTACAAGAGATAAGCTCTCTCTCGCTCTCTCCTCCTTCCTCTCTCTCTCTTCTTCTCTCTTTCTCTCTCTCTCTTTCTCTCTCTCTCTCTCTCTCTCTCTCTCGCTCTCTCTTGCTCTCTCCTCTTTCCTCTCTCTGTCTCTCTCTCTGTCTGTCTGTCTCTCTTTCTCTTTCTCGCTAACTTTCTTGATATCTCCCTCTGTCTCTCTCGTTCTCCTTAGTCTTGCTTTCTCTGCTTTGCCTGTTTCTCTGTTGTTGTTGGGGG